AATATTAGTTCCCCCCCTCCGGATTGTTATTAGGGGGGCCGAAACGCTTCGTTTGGTACCCCTCCCGACTTTTCCGCACCTGTTTTAGGGGTTGTTACCCCACCCTAGAGAATTACCATAACTTTTAGTGACCATCAGGTCAAGGTGCAGGACAGTAGCTGAGAGTTATAGCTTTAATTTAAGCCCCAGTTAAAGGGTCTATCACATTTTGTGTTTTTGTGCTAGACTTTCTAAAATATTGCAAAAAACGCGATTTTTTTACACTTTGGCCTCGTTTTTCTCAAAATCTGGAGCTGATGGAAAATTTATGCTTACGGACTCGTAATCAGCATAAAAAGTCTATCAAAAACAGCTTTATCATTTGCCACAACAAAATCACTGGTGCCTTGTTTAAGGCTATCTGCACACTTGTCGTCCAATCATAGTTGCGTTTCGCCTCTTGCTCTGAAATTTTGTGCCGAGCACATGCATTTCAAAGGAGATCTGCACACTTGTCGTTATCGGCTAGTTATCGGCAAATCGTAGAAGATGCAGAAATGGATAATGCAGCGTTTTTGCTGCATTTAAAATGCAACATTTAGCACTTTCGAACATATGTTTTCGAAGAGCGTTCATGCTACCGCATTTAGCAAATGTACATTTACGCGAGTTCGAAATCGTATGCTTTTGACAAACAGCCGTGTTCCAGTCGCTTATTCAGATCCGTATCTATTACAATCAATTCTCACGCAGAAGATAATGTGCAAAAACCCTACTGAAAAGGAAAAAATAAATTTTAAACCAAAACTTCAATACAAAAATTTGAATTGTTTTAACCATGATAAATATATAGTAAGGTAGAACCGCTGAGAGTCACTTTTAAAATTCTTGACGTTTCCAAACAATTTAATATTTAAATTTACTCACAAACTCACACACACATTTTCATTTTCAATCTCAAGCAACAACAATTTCGAACAATTTCAAGTTTTTATTTTCACTTTTATATGATTTTAAAATGTTGGCAAACTTCAAAAAAAAAATCATGGCCGACAAATTGAGATAACGGTTCTACTCTGCTATGTTTTTATCATGGTTTTAACCATGACCGACCATTTGTTTATGTATATATTCGTTTGTCGGTGCTGTCAATTAAAATTTCCTCACTTAATTAGGAAACAAAACAAGCAGAATTGATCAAAATTGATCCAGATTTCTATCAGCATCACATCGATATTGAATTTTCTTAACTTTTCTTTATCCAAATAATGTAAAATAATAAATGAAATCTCGATCGGCGATCACTGAAACGCAGCTAGCCACTGTATACTCGGAAATGCAATGTTGCCACTTTTTCTCATTAAACCATGTTCGAATCGTGGAAATTTTGGAAGATCACAGTTTTGCTTTTAGCATTTAGATTCTTAATGCAAAAATGGAGTTGCATTTAGTTGCATTTAGGTGACGAATTTTGTATGGATAAATGCACATTTAGAGTAGCATTTAGAGCTAAATGTGTTTTTACGCGTAAGCAAAAACAGCCCATAAAAGTACGACAATGTCGTTGTGTAATCGTTGGGCACGCATTGTTTGTTAACATTTTATGGGGAAAAATGAGTGAAATAGTTAATATTTGCATTAAAATTGCAAAAAAAATTAGTATTTTTTACATAAAATCTGTGAAAATTATTAAAAAGTGGATAATTGCATTAAAATTCAATAAATGTATAAAATATGACGAAATTGGAAAAAGTCTCTGTGTGCATGCACAAAACACATTTCAGGAAAGGAAAAGAAGAGATATTACTGAAAAATTATGTCTAGTATTGTTGCAGCACAGTCTATATTTTAAAAATTGCAGGCTTTTGTAAATATTTCGCGAAAATATCAACCAGAAAAACAGAAAATACCTGCTCCAAGTGAATTTTTAGAGGCCAAATGAATTGAAATATCACGACCGAGTGTGCGAAAGTGTAGTCGTCATGTAATCGTTGCATCATGATTGTGACGATGAAGCAATTATGACTGGACGACCAATGTGCAGAAAGCCTAATTGTTGCTTATAAATTTTCAAAAATGATATATTTTGTTTAAATTTCGTGACATAATTTTTCTATTTGTTTACAGCCAAGAAACCTAAAAACGTCAAACACCGATAATAGAAATGCTTTACTTCAGACATAGTCTTATGGTTTGAAGCAAGAACGATAGAATACAAGATTGCGCATTCCCGCAGAATGATATTTGTGGCAACGGGTAAACAAAGAATATGGCGAAGAACAATGAGTTGACAATTGTGAATTTGCAGTGAGAAAACGCGTTTTCTTCTCGATTCACCAATTTCTCAAGCCATCTTTGAATATAGCAAATTAAGCACTACAAAAAATATAGTTAACAAAAAATATACAACCACTCTTGAAATGTGTTCAAAAGAATAGGTCTTATTAATTAACTATTTAGAATTTTTGTGTTTGTATTGCAGGTGCCGAAAAAGTGATAATATCTTGTCGCAGCGCATGTTTTCCTGCAGAAAGTGGTCGATGCTTGCTTACCTCCGATTTTAGTTTATAATTTGTTGTATTTCAACGTTTTCAACTTAAATGTCGTGTTTAAAAGTGGTCCGTAAAGTGCTTCATGCATACTACGCTGGTGTCTAAATTTTATGGCTTCTCCTGCCGGCAGAACTCTATCCACTTTCTGGCCAAGGCGTCGTCGCGGGGAAACAAAAAAAAACTGCATTTCGGGGCTTTACCCCTACGGCTGCTGCAATTCAACACACGACACGACATTTTTATAAAGTTTTTATTACAAATAAAGCGTTTTTTACTTCAGAACGCACGAATTACTTCGATTTTTCATTTGAAAGTACACAATACGTTTGCAATACGTTTGCACTTGTTTCTAAAAAAAAAGTTTGTTTACGTATTGCCATAAATGTCAAAGTCGGCAAAACTAAAGTAGCGGTTTCGGGAATGCGCCACCTTCAGTTCATTTCCCCATGGGTTTGAAGCAACGTTTAAATATAAACGGAGCTTTTCAATTAAAAGTTGCTTGAGAAAACGGCCACTAAAGGAGGAATCACAATGAAAGTATCACTTGTAATAAAAAATTTACAAACTTAAAAAACTGACGCGCAGCTACACGGAGACATTGGTTGCGTTCATAAGACGTAGCTATTTAGCTCATCTGCTGCGAAACTGCTGGCAACTGTTGAACCCAACAATTACGCCTTAGAAACGGCTTGATGAATATGCTGCCAAATGAACAGCTGTTAAATGTAAGCAAATGAAATTGAAACGCATAGCGATAGTTGCGCCGATACTATTTAGAATTCAACCCTGAGCGGCCGCTGTGTTGAAAAAATCGTTCAATGTTACAATGAACTAAACAGTGTAAAATTATATAGCAAACATCTTAAAACCATATATTTAGAAACGTTGTATTATTATTAAATATTTTAGTTACTTTACCACGTCAGTAATATAAAATATTGTTACGATTATCCTTGAACCCTCGTCCGGATTTCCCAAACCTTCCGGTTCGTATCGCTGGATTGTTAAATAAAGGCTAACGATGACCAAATGGTAGTACAATTAACTTTATTGTACAACAAACAATTTTACAATACTTGCTAATACAGTAAAAACACTACAATACTTGTTAAAGCAATTACAACACTTTACTGAACTTGTTACACACAATTAAACTTATAGCTTGCTTCTTCGCAACTCGCTTCTCTGCTCACTTTACTTGTAGCTTGCTGACTTGTAACTAACTCACCTCGCGGTGGCGGCGCCCTTATATACCTGCGCTGGTACTTATGGCAACTCTAGAACATTCTCATTCGCTCATTCTCTTTCTCTCGCTGTTCGCAGTGTTCATCCAACTTGACGTTTCTCTTTGTGGAACATTCTACGTCATTCTTCGAACATTCTGCCTATTTCTCGTTGTTCGCTTTGTGTTGCCGCAGTATTCGCCACAATATAATAAATTTGTTTGCAACTGCCACCTAACAAAGCTGCATTAAAATTAATATAAGCGGCGTAAGCCTTTTCGATCAGATGTTTAGGCTAAGCCCAACACGCTGAGTTCAGGTAGCGTAAAAGTTTTCCGCTGGAAAAAATGGCGGAAAGTTGCCAACTGTTGGGCTGAGCGTAGCTACTCAACTGTGCGTTTCCCTGCAAAAATCGTGGGACCATGTAGTCTATTTGTGGTATATTGGAGTACTTACAAAAGTGCTCCTCTGTCATGCTGTAGCGGACCAACTCGTGTCTCTGCACCAGCTTATTGTTACCCGATCACTGCTCGTGTTTTTACGAAATGTGATTGAAGTTAAGCATTTGAAAGTACATTTGCATGTCTGGCTGTAGCTGAACGTGTAGAGATGCTCGCTGTTAGTTCTTAGCTCCCAGCATGTTCGGGTTCGAATGTCGTCAGAGGCAACATGTAATTTTTAATTTTTGTTTTTTAGTTTTTATTAATTTCAAAAAAAACATCTGTGAAGTGAAGAACAAAAGCGTGTACAAGCGAAAAAATATAACGACAATGTCATTGGAGTATGTTGGGAGTAGTTTTGTGCTACTCTGATGTAATGCAGAGATGGAGTATATGGTCCTGCCCTAGGACATCGCAATGTTAATTGGACCATATTTTTTATATGAATTGTGGTTAATTTTGGAGTACTCCTTGGTCCTTCGGGAGTACTCTTTACATGCATGCATGGGTAGTCGCGATTTTTGCAGGATTCTAAGACAAACAGCCAACGGTTACCCAACAGCTACGACTTATGAACGCGCCCATTATAAATAAAATCGGCTGTGCTAGAGGTTTTAAATTCTCGATAGTCAACTATTACTATCGATAATTTAACGTTTATTGAGAAAAACTATCACAACTCATCGATAGGAGCAAAAAAATAAAACTATCGATACTATCGATAGTTCCATCGGTAGTTTGATACCTCTAATCGATAGTGCCATCGATAGTTTGCCACCTCTAGTTTGTGGTTTTGAATGCTGATGTAAAGAAAAAAAAAATACTTTCGGTCGAAGCGAAATCGATTAGTTTGTGTTAAACATATCTATTGCCAATAAAGAGGCCTCTTAAATTGTTAATGAATAATTTTTGTAAGAACTACTAGTTGAAACGCTATTCGTCAGCTGTCGTTTTTTTAACATGACTGTAATGCGTATGTATTTAATTTCAGGGGATGAGTGTAGAGTTGTCTTCCCCCGAGATGATGGTGTGCCAAACACTGCGCGCTGCCACGGATCCAAATCATGAAGTTGTTTTGAAAGCCGAGGCGCAGTTAGCAGAATGGGAACTACAGCCTGGATTCTTCCCTACTCTAGCCCGCTTTTCTACGTTGAATGCCGGAAACGAAGCCGGACAGCAGCATTTACAGATAGATCTGAATGTACGCTGGATGGCGGCTGTATACTTAAAGAATGGTATCAATAAGTATTGGAGGCGGAATGTGCGGCATGAGCTACCTAGTGAAGAGAAACAACAAATTCGAGAGATTCTTTTGAAAAAATTTAGTACGGAACCAGTACCACAAGTAATGTTGCAGATAGCTGTGCTTATAGCACGTATAGCTCGTATTGATTGTCCTCGCGACTGGCCAGAGTTAATACCTCAACTGATGAAACAGCTACAGATATGTGCACAAACGGAAGGTGATGCAGGTGAACAACATCGAGTATTGCTTGTTCTACATCATGTGGTAAAAGCGCTGGCGTCTCGTCGCATGATGGCGGAAAAGCGAGTTTTTGAAGAGCTAACAGGAAATTTGTTCGTATATATGAAAGATATATGGGATGCTTTCACAACTCTATTTTTTCACCAACTTAAGACGGCTTCTGTGAACGCGATATCAACTTTGGAACGTGCTCTATTGACTATGCGCATTTTAAGAAAACTAACGGTGTATGGATTTCCAAAGCCTTTTAAAATTGAGTGTTGCATGAGCTTCCTTGAACTGTTATTCGCTCGTCTTAAACAGTGCTTGGAATGTCGGTATGAACTGCAACATCTTGGAGCTGAAGACCAACTGGTAGCTTTAATGGAAAAGTTCATACTGAAACAAATAAAGACGCTAACGGAGTTTCAAGATATGCACTCTAGCTCGTTTGCTCGATTTGTTCCTGAAGCACTAGAATTTTGTTTTGAGCATGTATTCTATGAACGTGCGCGTCTTATATTTTCTGAGAATGTCATAAATTTCAGCAATTTTGCCATACATTGTATCAATCTTATGAAAGGTATAATGATGTGTAGCGCTTATGCTAATTCGGCAACAACTGGCGAACACGTTTTAACAGAGCCTAATCCAGCTCCACATATAGCTCTATCAGACTTTTTCACTGACGATCGACTCTCTTATATTTGCGAAAAAATTATCACTCATTATTTCTTGTTGACGCAAATCGAGCTTGATCAGTGGATGGAGGATGCCGAGAGTTTCGCACAAGATGATGGCGGTGAAAGCTGGAAGTATGCACTTCGACCTTGTATTGAATCGTTCTTCCTTACATGTTTCAGTCAATATCAGACAAAAATGACTGCTGAAGTAGTAAAGTACATTCGAAAAGCTCAGCAAATCGAACTGTCACCATCATCTGATCTCAAGGACATACTTATAAAAGACGCCATATATAACGCCGCAGGACTAGCTTCTTTTCATTTTTTTAATGATATCGATTTTGATGTTTGGTTTGGTAATCAACTTTTGTCAGAACTCCGAATCGAAAGTGATAATTTTCGTATACTCCGTCGGCGAATTATTTGGTTAGTAGCCGAATGGGCGGCAGTTAAATTTTCTAGAAATTTACGACCTCTAGCTTATGAAGCTTGTTTACATTTACTTCGGTCTACTGAGGATATGTCCATACGCCTGGCAGCTTCTCGCACACTATCTACATTAATTGGGGACTTCGAGTTTGCACCTGAGCCTTTCTTACCTTATTTGGAACCGTCATTTAATGCGTTATTTGTGCTCTTGGGAGAGGCTAGAGAATGTGACACCAAAATGAATGTTTTGACAATAATGTCGTGTCTTGTGGAAAAGATGAGCGATAACATAGAACCACAAGCAGACAATCTGATATCGTATTTGCCCCTACTGTGGAAAGAAAGTGAGGACTACAACATGTTGCGATGTGCTATCATTTGTACGTTGCAGCAATTAGCAAAAGCGTTACGTGACATCCCAGAATCCATGAAACCATTCCTGTACAACGTAATTCAACTCAGTACGGATCTCCAGGTATATTAACTATGAGTCAGATTCGTGAAAGCGATCACTACAATTTATTTTTCGATTTAACAGCCTTTTTATCTATCTCGAACGATAGGCCTCACGAACAATTCGTCTGCAGGCAATATGGTCACTGCTTGCAATTTTGTATCCCTGTTTTATTGTTATCGTTGTTGTAGCCTTGATTTTACGTCAATTACGTTTGGTCTAGTTAAACTGATGTTGCCAAACATATTTTTGCAACATTTTATTTGCAATTGCGTGTCGTGCTGCCAGTCGATTCCGACTTGCACAATACCAACATTCGAGCGAAACATCTAGCAGAAGAAACGAACGTTCGTTCCGAGAGGGATAGGCTGTAAACATGATACCAAAGTAAGGTAGTTCTGGGTATATTGTGGAACGATTTTCAGTCATCCTACCCTGTCTGAAACACCAACAGCGAAAATTAGAGTAGTTCTGAGTATTTAGTTTTATGCATACTAACAAAAAAAAGGTAGTTCCATGCCATGGTATAATTCCACCATGGTTCCATACCTGGTCGGAATTGGTGTGTAATCGACGTGAATTCCTAGCGGTAGCTTGACCTCCTTCGTCGAGGTTGTGAACAGGGTCGCAGAGGATTTCGTAGGGGAGGGGGCTAGACACTTTGCAGTGAAGAAGCGAGAATGTTCAGAGAGATATCCGTTTACTTTCGAACACAGGTCATCAATTCCATTCCCAGTCGCCATGATCGAGCAATCGTCGGCGTAAGAGACAATCGAGACTCCCTCTGGCGGTTGAGGGAGCTTTGAAATGTAAAAGTTAAACAGTAGTGGGGAAAGGACACAACCCTGTGGAACCCCCTGTTTTATTTTCCTAAGTTTGCTCGATTTGTGACTAAAACCTTACCGACGACTGTCGACCACTCAGATAATTTGCCGACCACGTTTGAGCCTCTGTGGGAGAGAGGAAGCCTCTATATCTTCTAGTAGCGTGGAATGGCTGACAGTGTCAAAAGCCTTTGACAAGTCCAACGCTACTAGAATCGTTCTCTCACAGGGACGTTTACGGTTATCTGAGTGTTTATGGCGTTAAGTGCTGTTGTTGTACTGTGCACTTTAGGGAAACCATGCTGATGCTTCGCTGGGGTCAAGTGGTTTGTGAAATACGGGAACAGCAAGGCCTCGAGTGTCTTCGCTACCGGGGAGAGGAGTGTTATCGGCCGATAAGAATCTCCTATGTTGGCAGGTTTCCCCGGTTTGAGCAGTGGGACCATTCTCCCCACCTTCCAGATGTCTGGGATGATGAGAGTGGCCATGGACAAATTGAGGACTTCCGTTAGGTACGCTACCCCCGCGGGACCCAAATTCAGCATCAGCATGCATATTCCGTCGGGACCCATGGCTTTGGAGGCGCTCGCTTTCCCGATGGCCACCTGAACTTCACCGCAAGTGAAAGCAAGGGGGGTACAGGTTGTTGGCAGTTTGTGCAGCCTTCTGGTCACTCGACGCTTGGCTTTGTCCACTGGAGGATGCAGTATGAACTGCCGGCTAACATAGCTCGCGCATCGCTCCGGGTCCGACGAAGCATGGTCGCCGAAAGAAATTTCGACTCTGTCGTCGTGCTTCGTCGGATTGGGCAGTGACCTCACGGTTGACCAAAGCTTACTCACAGCAGAGGTGAAGTTACAGGTCTTCAGATGTTCTTCCCACTTCTTCCGCTAACGTTTACTAGTTGCCTAATCTCCGCGTTGAGATCCCTGATACGGGGATCTCCGGGATCGGCCTGACGAAGGCTATTACGCTCATCGGCTAGAACAGCCGCTTCAGCAGGGAAATTTGGACGTGGGTCCGTAATACATCCTGCCGGTACGAAGCGAGCTGCAGCAGCGGTGAAAGCCCTGCGGAACTTACGTTCACCAAGGTGGACGTCGGTTGGTGTGGGGAGAGCAGCGAAGGTGTTTTCAGTAAATTCCGCGAAGCCTTTCCAATCAGCTTTAGAAAAGTTGATATATGTTCGGTGCTCCGCGGAAGCAAACATTAAATTAAAAAAAGAAATTATTTGCGTTACAAAAATATTTGTTTATGAATAATTGAACTCTTAAGCAATATCTGCGCCTCGAGGCGCATTCGGACACTTACTTTCAAAGAAAAATAAAAATTTCCAAAACACTGCAAAAATTTTCAATCGTTGATTAGAAAAAAAACTATTTGGAATTTTGCAACAAAAATTACACAGTGTACTGTTCTACTACAAACCTCGGCGCTGCCTGAATATCATTGAAAAATATTAATGTTGGTAAATTCGGTGCCCACTTGAGGAAGCCTTACCCAAGAACAATTCTTTTTGCATACATTTGAAAAAGACGTTTTTGGGTAGAATATAACGTTTTTTTCAGACAAAGAGGGACGTTTTCTCATGCCTAAGACCGGGCAACACTGGTTCCACATCACATATTTTTTTCGGTTATGGTACAGTTCATGCTCCCCACCGAAAACTCATGCAAAGTAATCGAAAGGGGTATCAAACGACGCATATTACTGCCATTACTAAGAATCGGAGGGCGGAAATTGGTTTTTTACAACCGTTCAAATGTTATTCGTAAAAAACCGTTCGATTTTAGTTCACTGTCAGTATTAAATTCACGTTGATAAATGCATTAAATGAACACATATTTGTATCTAGATGTTCACTATAGTTTATTTTAATTAAATTTGTAACGAAAAATCCCGAAACTTAATATTTAATGAAATGTGGGGTCTGTCCACAGGTACAGAGGCGTTAGTTGTGTGGGGTCTGCCCACAGGTACAGAGACGTTAGTTGTGTGGGGTATTCCAGGCATACGAAGAGATTTTTCTAGTCGTGGGGTGTCTCTCCGCATGCCGGACACTCATTTGGCACATCTGCACATAATCTGTTCAGGTATGAGTTTAAACTGCTTCAGTAGCCAGAGCGAAGTTGCGCTATTGTGGTCCTAGTATCCCGAGGCACGCGAAGCTCCGTCTCGTCGATGTCAGGTGGTTGTGTGTCCAGAACGGCATTCACAGGTCTGGAGTCTACATAACTTGAGACTGACTCCCTGTGAATGCCGCTCAGGGCCTGTCGGTATGCTGATGAGTCCGGAGCCTTCTTTATGAACCTTTGGACTTCGCCCGTCAGTTAATATAGATGCCTTATGACATGTCGTGGCGAGGGCTCCTCTGCAAGCAGGTGTCTGTTCGGGTGTTCACGCCTGTGGCTCCCAGTTAAGAATTGCTAGTAGAATATTTGTGTTGTGCTCCTTTAGCATATGACCTAGATTGGAAAATATGCTACTTTTCTTAAGAGTTGCCACCTGTAAAAAAGTTTAATTATATTAATACGCGGAAACGACTTACCGGAATGGCTCGGGTTTTACCCGACCAAGGGCTGTTGTTTCGGCGATCTAACCCCTTTTAGGTCGGCGAAGTATCTCAGAAGTTGCTCGTCCATAGGGCTACATTTGCTACGCATTCTGCTGCTCAGGGATGGCATCGAGTCAAAGCCAGGGCCAGAAACCTACACCTGCTGTGTATGCCAGACTTCACCACACCTCCACCTCAGTCAAGCGCAATGCTTGTGACGGCTGACGTCAGCTCAGAGTCTGCGCACTACTACGGACCCATCGGCAGTGGACCACATCATTTGTGCTCAAACAGAGCAGCCTCCACGGCGAACCCCAGTCCACCTGAGCAGCTCAACACAAACACCACAGCACTACAACACAACAACAGAATAGACCACACCACAACCACGAAAGACCACACAACAGACACAACCGCACCACCACCCGCCGCCGCCAACAACTCCTGGTTCCTCCTACAATCTGCACGTTATGTCAGAGCAGGATATTCCGTAGCGTGACATCAGTCAAGGGCAACACCTGCCTTGGCTGGTGCCACTTTAGAGCATGTTCAGGTCTGCGCACCACGCGAGATTGGGCGAGGAACTTCGAGGGCCCCTGTTGCGCCGCCCGGTCGCAAACCCCAACTGCGACGCCACCCACTACCACCACAGGGCGGCACCCTCCACAGCAGCGCACACAGCCAATGACGGCAAGGCCACACACATCCCTCACACCCCGCATAACTACACATCTCCCGAACCACATGAAGCTCCTTCAATTTATCTGTAACGGACTTCAGAGCAAGATCGAGGAGATAACCGTCTTCATGGGAAGGCATTGTACAACGCGCACCGTCGAGATCGCGAGCGAGATAATGATGGTGGCTTAGCGGTCATCACGCACCACACCGTGCAGTATCGTCTTATTGAAGCAGACATCTACCGCAGGGATACCACCCTAGAATGTCAGGGCATTGCTATCCGGTCAGGCGATGTCGAGCTCGAAATATTTAACGTGTACATACCCCCTGTCAACTGCTAGGTGACTTTTATGCGCACCACGATCTTTGGCACTCAAGCCTGTCAAACGATCGTAGGGGAATACATCTGGCTGAGCAGATAGACGATTCGACATTCTGCACAATGAACGATCACGCACCCACCAGGATTATGGGCAGCTGCTGCAGCTCGCCAGACATAACAATAGTCAGCGCTGGTCTAATAAGCAGCGCATTATGGCGACCTATGCTGACGTTGGCATCAGACCATCTGCCCATAGTCATCTCGATCGATAAACCAACCGACTTTGCTTCCGCGGAACACCGGACCTATATCAAATTTTCTAAAGCTGATTGGAAAGGCTTCGCGGAATTTACTGAGATCACCTTCGCTTCGCTCCCCACACCAACCGACGTCCACTTTGGTGAACGTAAGTTCCGCAGGGTTGTCACTGCTGCTGCAGCTCGCTTCGTACCGGCAGGATGCATTATGGACCCCCGTCCAAACTTCCCTGCCGAAGCGGTTGTTCTAGCGGATGAGCGCGACAACCTTCGTCAGGTCGATCCCGGAAATCCTCGTTTTAGGGATCTCAACGCGGAGTTTCGGCAGCTTATGAACGTACATAAGCGGAAAAAGTGGGAAGTGCATCTGAAGACTTACAACTTCACCTCTGCACTATGGGAAATTTTACCCTATTTTGTGGCCAAAATTCAAAAGGCTGAGATATCAATTTAAAACTTGGCCCAGTAGTAGGACTAGAAGTAGTGGCCTTGCCGCGCAAAAATTAACCCGTAATGGTCACACCTTCAAAAAATAGCGTAATGGTCACACGGGTACCAGTGGACCCCAACCCAATAAATAGATGCGTCGTACGTTCTATTTTAAATATCGACTCGAATCCTCCACTGACCTTAAGTATAAAACTTTCTCTTTGTTATCTGATAGGTTATTTTCCAACTTTTAAATTATAACATCGTGAATTATTTCATAAAACTCATGATTTTGTACCAAGAAGTTACCTACAAAAATTTTAAAATCTTTCTTTAATATCGCACGAAAATAAGGTTAAGGGGAAATAAGAGATCGGGGACTATTCTACCTATTTATGATGAGTTTTAGTTTTTTTAAACGTTTTTAAAAATTTTTTTAAAACACTAAATAAACTTTTTTTTTTAATTGTACAATTTCACTTTAAAGTCACTTAAATGAGGACGTTTCTTTGGCACAACCTTTAAGCTACAATACAAGTTTTAATTGGCGAATATTCTGCTAACCGTCACTCTTTATTTCTACGTTTCACTTTTGAAAAGCAGCAAACAGATTACGAGA